AGAGGAGTTGTACACCCCTAGCTGCCACTGTTATTCAGTGGCCTAAAATATGGCTCTAGATTTTGGTGTTATAATTTATTTATGTAGTTTATTGTAAAAATTCGGTCACAGTCCCTATGATCACTGTTACATTGCATTTATGGCTTTTATTTTGGTGATTTCGAAAAGTTTTTTTTTGTTTTGGCCATGTTTTTGTTTATTGTAGTACGGAGTTAGACTGATGGCCTTAATCTTAGTTGTCTTGTGGTTGTTGTTGTTGTTGTTGTTATTTGACTTGCATCCCACTGGGATTTTTGCACACAGCGTTGGTGTACGGTGCTATTTCAGGAATATTTTGATGTTTTTTTCCTGGATTTTCTGTTTGTACAGTCACATAATCACTTTAAGATGTTTTCTTGTTCATGTTTTTGTTTGTTGCGGTTGCACCCGATCCAAGAGCCGAATGGCTCACAGGGCTATACCAAATAAATTAACTATGGAACTATGGAACACATCGTCACAAATGTTTGACCCCCCCCCCCTAGGTGCGTGACGTCATTTATGGACGGCCCCTTATCACAGCCATGCATGCCATTCTGCTGGACCTCTCTCATCTCATCCCACACTCCCCCCGCGCACTCTCCGCTTCGACAACCAAGACTTTCTGTCAAAGCCCCCAGGCAACCTTTCATGCGTTGGGGGGGGGGGGGGGGGTCACTCAGTCTCCTCTGCTGGCTCCCCCCACCACTGATTTGAAACTCCCTTCCCCATCCATCTGTGCTGCCAACTGCCTGCCACTATTCATTCCCAGACTCGAGACGTTTATTTTACGTTAATTTTGTTCATCGGCCTATGATGGTCTGCCTCTCTCTATAAAATAAGCAGGACAATTGTTTCTGTACAGCATTTTGAGATGCAGTTGGATTGGATGTTATTTTAATCCATGACCTCCTAGCACCAGCATCAGATGTAAGAAAATGTGAACCTGTCCCTGTATCCATTCAGCAACGTTTCTCAAATTTCAGCTCGTGAACCCTCCACCCACTAATCCCACTGTAAAATGTATGTTGAACTTCTTTGGCACCGTACGTAGCCCGCCACGCTAATTGGAGGTGCAGGGGAAGGACAACAACATTAACCACAGAACGCAGTTGTAAAGAAATACGTTTTCAATACAGACTTTCAAGTGCATTGCTCCAGTGGCATCTGAAAGCGCGCGATGCAGTGACCGTCTTTGCTCCATGGTGAGCCAAAAGCCGCTGCGAGGATGACCACAGATCGCGTGCTGGTTTATGTCCAGCCTTTCTGCCTAATGACCAGTGCTAGCAATCGTTCTTAAATTGGAACGTGTACACTTGCATTCATGCATTGATGGATAAAGTTGCAGAGCAGTATCGTGGGAGAGGCACCGGGGCTGACATTGTGAGAAACGGCGCTATCAAAGAAGCACTGACGACTGATTCTCACACTGTCCTAATACTATGCTCACTGCATGTTAAATGGCCACTTAGCAGAGATTGCAAAGAATGCACTTCGTGCGTAATTAAGGCTAGGTTTTGACACATCCCGAGCATTAACATATCACAATAGTACTATATTGTCTAATTACAAAACCAGTGTGGGCGTTTGGTTGACGTGTAGATTTGTGTAACTTTTGCTTCTCGTTGAACCTTGCAAACTGTGTTTCTAAGTTAAGCTGTGATGATTTCTCAACGTGTTGTTTGCAGAATATTTGTGAAATGTGAGAATGACTATGGGTACCTTGCAAATTGTGCATGTTTCTAAAATCAAGTAAAAGTGTCTCCCTACTCATACACGTGGGACAAACCTGACTTACTGGTAAAAACTCTACATTAATATAATATTGTGTGCCTCTCGTTAATAGTTCTTTCCTATGTACACCTTATTGGGCACAGGTAATGCTGCATGCACACACACACGAGGTTGTAAAATTAAAATCATATTTAAAAAAATGTGTACCCTACTCATGTACATGATTAAATGTCATTTGCATTCAAATAGATGCTGGGATTGATTAGATGTGAAGATGGATAACTGCAAGTGTTGTGCTTCATCCGATTCCAGACAGCTATAATCATAAAGCTGCAGTGAAAAGAATGAACACATCACCGAATATGGATAACAGTGGGCTTTAATTGCCCACTGCATCAATTAAAGAGCACAAACTGTCTTTTGTAAAATGAGAAGTTGCTCAACTTTTACAAGCACAATCGAGTACGGTAATTTAATACGTTGATTTACGTCTTCTACTTCGTGATGGAAATTCAGTGAGAGTTTTGTTTAATATGCGTTAAAGAAACGTAGAAGAGCCTTTTTCACCACGTAAAAATACAATTACGGTACATTTTGGCCCAACAGTCTATGGACCTTCTAGTCCAGTTTACATATTCTATCAACATTTGTGTAAGCGGAGTGAACCCTGGACTTATTTTGAATTCCTGACGTGCATGATCAACAAAGGCGTTTTCCAGGATTGAAATCGCAATGTTAGTCTTGGAGATATCAAGTTTTTTAATGTAAAGCCATCTCCTCCATGTGCCGTTGTTATGCGCTGTGCCGTAGTTGTTTTTAAACTTCACCTTACACAGACGTCTTCCTCATTGTCATGTTTTTTTATCAGAGGGGGGAACAACATACGGGTAAAGCGTTGTAGATACGCATCGAATACCACCACCTCATCCAGCAGGTGGTCTCGCTGTGCGCCTCAAAGAAGCTTTCCCAGTTAAATGCACCCAGTTTTTTTGCCTCGTGTATATACATATCTACTTTTTGCACGAAGGTAAATACAGTTTTTCAACCCACGAAAGTAAATAGTTCAACTCAGTTCAGCCGGTTTGACTGAATTGTTCAAGACAAAATTAGGTCAAACTATTTCTCAAAATGTCGCAAAAATATAAACTGCCCCAACAAAACAAAGTACCATAGTTTATATTTTGGTCCGAATACGGTGCGTTACACAAAGATGTATTATCCTGTAACACACGCATGTAGGTAGGAACCTCCTGGTTACACCAGCCCACAGGGGATTATTTTGTCCGTCCGTCCGTCGTGCATCCAAAAATGGGAGGGGTGGGGCTGGGTGGAGAGGGAAGGGTGGGGAGGGAGGGGCTGGGTGGGGAGGGTGGGGCTGGGTGTGGAGGGTGGGGCTGGGTGTGGAGTGTGAGGAGGGGCTGGATGGGGAGGGTGCGGCTGGGTGGGGAGGGGCTGGTCACCCCGTGGTGCCCTTATAAAACTCAACGTTTAACCTACTCACGCCGGCTTGCGCCCGCCCTCACAGTCGGGCATATTTGCGGAATACACCACGTGGTGCCGCCGTTGACCTTGGCCATTGACCGAGCAACCCAACGTTCCTACCAGCTCCCTCCGCAGGAGAATGTGTTCCCTTTAAGGGGATACCGCCAATTTGATGGTATAAAGAAACGTGCATGGCCAAAGACAAAGTACCCCCCTTATAGCCTTAACAGACTGTGGGGGCAAGTGCTTTAAAGGCTGGCACGGCACGTGAGAGGGTGGGTGGCCAACACCACGCCCGGCCACCTTTGTCTCACCGCACCAAGTACTAATCTAGAGCTGATGGAGGCCCACGACCGGTAAAGATATATTGCGTTGGCTGTGACAGGGAATCGAACTCGGGTAGACAGGTTTGTTGGCCGGCACGCTAACCACTGCGCCACCGCTCCTCACACGCACAAACGCATACATATGCAAGCGGATGTACACATAAGGATTGCGTGCACACCCATGCACACACACACACATACACTAATAAAGCTGGTACATAGAGTAACGTGATTAAAACATACCCCAATCTTGCTAAAAATGTATATAGATCTGCAAATTGGTATTGGAAATCTGTGGAGTATTTGTTTTTGTTTAGATTGTTTTCGAGGTTATGTCGTTTTCATGAAACCACGTGAAGTGTTCTCAGAAGGAGAGATGAACAGACAATCTATTCCGGACATAGAAATGCAATTAAAAGCCTATTAAACCGACAGCCCAGCTTTAATCTATAATGCAGTACAGTACATTAACAGCAAATAAAAGCAGAACTCCATTCTGTCTACACATTTAAATACAAATGTTTTAAGACATCGGCCTCACACTTACTGGCCTTCAAGACAAATATTTGTCAAAGCAACGACAACTCTGGACCGGTTTCAACCTTCTGGGTCTCATCGGGCGGTTGTTGAGCAAAGGTTTAAGTTGAGTAAAAAAAACCATTTGAGCCTAATGCACAAAACCAAAATCCGTAGGATTAACCAGATTGTTTTTTTACACGCTTTCATTTAACTCACTCTGTTGTATCCTCAAATCTTGTAACTCAATTTTAACCCACTTCCCAATGTGCTATCGACTGCAAACTTGGTATACTCATGTCATACTGATGACAATACTATATTCTATCATAAAAATAAAATAAAATATATATCTTTTTAAACAATATTTTCTATATGTTGTTTCGGCTTGGCTCTAATTGCCCACTGTCAACTGACGTTGGCTGTAATTGGCCCACGGTCCCCTTAAGTTGTGGCAAGCTTCGGGGCCACTTCCTAGAGTCGTGGAGTTCTTACATTACTAGCAAAGTACATTTAATAAACGCGTTCTCTTTTAAATATATTACTTCTTTTGTGTGCGTGTCTGTGTTGGCAACGAGACTCCCAATACCAACACAGCGTTGGTGTACGGTGCTATTTCAGGAATATTTTGATGGGTTTTTTTCCCTGAATTTTCTGTTTGCACATGCACAAAGTCACTTTAAGATATTTTCTTGTTCATGTTTTTTTGTTTGTTGCGGTTGCACCCGATTCAAGAGCCGAACGGCTGGCTCACAAGGGCTATACCAAATAAATGTAAACTATGAAATGAAACTATGAAGAAATACGGCCGATGTGTTCCACGGGACTGCAGGGGGCGCCGTGACGCCGCCGCCGCCGCCGCCTGCCCGCCACTCTCCCCGGCAGGGAGCGAGGGGGCCGGGCCGGGGCCGTCAGGGCTGGGGGGGGGCAGGGCAGGGGCTGGGCCCGGCCGAGGTTTCCTTCGCTCGGGCTAGACGCGGGGGTAGATTACGGGTCGGGGCTGTGCAGAGGTAGAAACAGCAGCAGCGGTAGCTGCAGCATCGTCAGCAGCAGCATCATATCAACAGAAGTAGCAGGAGAAGTGGACGAACAAGAAGAAGGAGGAGGAGGAAGAGGAGGAGCAGGGGAGAGACTCCAGGACTGCACACGCCGAAGCATCGCTCGGCGTGTGCCGCGGCACGGCAGGGAGGTGAGCTCCTCCGCGTTCGCTCGTCGCGGGGCCACGGCAGCTGCGACGGTCAATGAATGTTTGAGTTAATTGCGACTTGTTCGGCACCCCTCCTCATCTTCCCCGGCCTTTGGGATGGCGGGGGTAGACGTCGCGCGCTTCAAACACCCCCCCACGTCCCCTCTTCCCACTGGGCCCGATCTCTCGAGCGAAGCCTCGATCTGGCCTAGACGCTTGGCCGAGATGGGAACGCCTCTCGCCGGCCGAGCACCCTTGCCCTCCCACCTCACTTTCCTCTCTGTCTGTTCACTCTCCGCGCTCCCTCATTGCTCGGTGATTGATTAAAACGGAACAGCGGGAGCGTATTTTTTTTGTATAAACGTATCCAGGTCGTGCGTCACAAGCTGTCCAAGGCGAATGATTTTATTATTTGAAAGCGTCGTTCATGTGAAAGGAGTACTTTAAAAGTTGCGGTCAGACTCGCCGCTCGAGGGCTCGAGTGATTCCAATGCATTGGCGCATTGAAACGTGTAAATATTTACAGGGTGTGTACATCAGCAAAGTGCTGTACCCACAATTGAATGCAACTTCATAGCAATTTTTTTTTAAAAAATATGTAATTAACGAAGCTTCAAACCGCGTGTTGGACAGCTAGACGTGTTATTTCCCATCGTTGTTGCATTTCCAAACTACTAAAATAAACATACTCATGGTATACGCTTGGCCACTGCAACTGCCCTTAAATTGGAGGCATTCTCGGAATAATAACAGCACGGGGGCGGAGGGGGGAGGTGTGTGATCGTTGTGAGAGAGAGATGCCTTTGGTGCCTTGCCCTGTTTGTGTAGCGTAGAAGATCTTCGTGAAATTTAATAACAATTAGTCCGCGTATTTGCATTCGGAGTCGCTTGCCCAGCAGGGATACATTCATTCCACTCGGACGGGGCCCATCCCGACCTCTTGGCTGTAATATTTTGTCCACGTTGACGGGCAACGTTGAAACTTCCCTTGCAGCAGTCCATCAAAAAGAAAATTCCGATCTCAAAATCCCACTTCTAGTGAGTGGACTTTATTTGAAAGGGACTGTGCGAAAGGCATCGTGTGTCGTTGTTATTATATTACGACTGCGTCATGATTATTTCGGTGGGAAACATTAAGTTCTACCTTCCGTAAGGAATATTGGTCCGCTTAACGTTTTCTTTTCGGTTGTCATAAGAATTACTGCTTTAATATGAATTTTTTGTGAAATTCTATTAAAACGTATACCCCAGCAATATTTCATGAAGTTATGTTTTTAAGTGATTGAGTACTATATATCATTGGTTATTTCGGTAAAGTCACGTAGAAGGGAAACAATCAAATAATAAAATATATAAAACAATAAAATTCTCACGACGTTTCGACTGCAACACAAGCAGTCATCATCAGGTGATTGAGTGCTATTCTAAAAGTGTTTTATGTCTGTCTGCCAGTGGGAAATGTTTGCATCTGCCTTGATATCCTGTACTTTGTTTTCTAGTGAATGTCTGGTTAACACGTGCAATAATGAATCATGCCAGTAAGCAATACCAGTGGCCTAGCGTATGTCAGAGATTCCACCTCTGCCCAGATTTATTTGCCTGTTTTATATTAGTATAAGGGCGTATTGGGTGCCACACATTTGTAGCGAGCACCAAACAAATCATTGCTCAATGTTGCCTACCTCTTAACATGAACGAATCATTGTTTATTGGAAAATCCCACTTACAAAATTATTAACTTGCCACTCAAACATTTACATTTTGCAATCTACATCTGTACAAGTGGCTCAATTCTCTGGTTACTTTGTGACCATTAGCCTTTTGCATAATTTAATGCTGTAAATCCTGCAAAATGTTAAGTAGTTTTTTTGTAAAATCAGCATTTAAACTACCGTTTATATATATTTTTAATTATTATAGCGATGTCTGCATCATTTTACTCGCAATATGTGAATTATGAAGCTGCATTATTGAACTATTTGAGTAAAATGATGACGTGATAATTATAAAATACTGGTTTGGTCACGTGCTCATCCTTGCAGACCCAAGCTGATCTTGAGCCATTCCCACCGCGCCTCATTTGCATCGCTAAGATAAAAAAACACATTTAATTTTGATTGGAGCTCGTAATGAAGGATAGACTATTGATAGCACTTATTGCTGGTGAGCAGAATGTGCACGGACCATACCGACTTTGCCAGCAAATGTTAGAACGACTCGTGTGATATTACAGTCCGTTTTTTTTACCAGTTTAAATGAAACTGCTTATAGTAACAGAATAAAGTTACTTCAATTAATGATTGAAATAAAATGTAAGTTTAAGACATTCAATGTGTAGTAATGTCATAGGGCTTTTTAAGACCGTTCATGAAGACATTGAATATATTCTTAAGTCGGTATTGGATGATTCGGCAGCAGTTTAACGATTGGATATTGCAAACATTGCAGTGAACACATTTTCCCATTAAACTTTGCTTTCATTTGCCATTTTGTTCTTCCGAAGTTCCTAGAATGTGGACTCTCGTTTGTACTTCCAGCAGGTGTTATTTCCACACCTATTATTTTCTCAGCATGTATATAATGTGTCAAAAACTTCTGAAATAAGTGTCACTTGAAAGCCTCTTTTCCACATTTTTACTTGTAGTATCAAAAACACGCTTGTTCCATATTCACAACATCTTAATTGGCTTGCATTGTGCAGAACATATTTTTTTATAACTTCCCTCATTGATCTCTCATTGAAGATAGTTTGCTTTGTTGGCACGGAGTGTCTAGTGTATAGACAGCCATTGCACATTAACTTGCTTTCTTTGAAACCGACTGGGGTATAAATGTAGTGATGTTAAGAGACATGGACACCAAAAGTATATTGTTACATATTCTTTGGTTTTTTCGGTAAAGTCACGTAGGTAAAAAAAAATGAAAACAACAAAAAAATGTTTTACCTACGTGACTTTACCGAAAAAACCAAAGAGTATGAATCCTTGCAGTCACGAAAGCTTCAAATATATTGTTACAGCTTGTCTGCTTTGTTGGCAAAACATGCGATCAGTATCTCAATATCATTGTCCTATTTAAAAAAAAAAAGACTTGCTATGCATTTTAGGCTGTTATTTTTAAAAAAAATGCAGTTGCCATCTGAACAGATTGACACGCGCTTTTGGCTGCCTGCATCCCTGCACCAAGACCTGCTTGGATCATATGGTTGGGTTTCAAAGGCAAATTAAAGGGACAATTGAAGGCTCATACCAGAAGCATGCTGTCATGTGCTTACAACAGCCGTATAGTGTCTGAACGAGCACTACAGTGATTTTTTTTCCACCACCCCCCCAGTGTATTACTTTAAGGGATTTGGTCATCATCATTTCACAACTCTTACAGTGCTTTATTAAACCCAGCAGGAGGTTTGTGGAATTGGAAAAAAAAAATTGTAAATGTTTTTCAGTCTTAGATAATAAAAAAAATGTATTCTTATTTATGCACATGCATAGTTATGTTAATGACTTCTGAATTAAATTGTTAACCTCATTTGATTTGTCATTATAGTGTGAGTCCTTTATCCATATGTTCTTCATATTATCCACATCTCCGATTTAAGTTTTTTTTTTAAATCCTATGAGTTTTTCTTTATCCAGTTAGCTTTTGCACAGATGAGGAATTCACAAATTAATTCTATTTAAACTCTTCCTTGGATAAAAGTCACTGGGAAGTGGTCACTTGCATATACGACTTGCTTCCTGTGATGTGCACTTTCGCACTGAATGAGAGGAGTGAATCGGAACTCGTTTCAAATTCATCCTACATACCTGTGTTTAGCTGCACTTTACTCCTCGGATATGGAGAAAAATGCATTGGGGAAAAAAAAAAACCCACTGATAATAGGATCGGCCCTTAACACCCACTACAACAAATCAGATACAAAATATTATCACTCTTGTGGTAGAAGCAACCTTACCGTTAAAAAAGTTGATATTTAACAGTTCACTTATTGATTGTAATGTGATATACTTAACCAAATCTGATTTGATAATTGCATAAATGTCATTGATAATGAATGTCTAGCAGTGTGATGGAGTAAATTGCAGTGCATGCAGGTTTCCTGTCTCACAGATTATTTGTAACCTTCCATGCACCATATGGTTTGCATTTTATGCCACAGTAGGGAATGTATGTCTGAAAATCATGTTAGGCGATGCCCTACTTTGCGAAGCACTACTAGCAGCTGTGTTGTGTGCATGGTTAGCCTTTACTTGCACTGAATTAATTTAAAATGGTCAGAAGCACAAAAGGTTTTGGTCATTATTAAAATAAATAATAGTTTTATGAAACACGTAAATCTGATTAAATGCATTCTCTGCAGAGGTTAAGGCTGCGGTATGGAGTGGTCTTTTTCTAAACGTACAAATGGCAGTTTAACATATTTGTTAATTGTGGCTTTTACCAGATGTGCTGAAGCTGCCTCTAAATAATGTGTTTTTTTTATCGTGTGCAGGAATGCCAAACATGCTTATCAACCAACGATTTAAAAACATGCTTTGTATTTTAATTACAATTGAACATTACCCAATAAGCTGAGCACAAATGCTATCTAATGGTAATATTTGTAAGAGTCATTTCTGGGTACTCGTGTGAAATTCTGTGTAAGGCTTGGCACACTAAACACAAAGTAGTGCTGATGAGAGACCTCTTTATTCTTCATAGTTAAGCGAGCAGAGGGCTTTCCATAGTCTCATGCGCTGGCAATTACTAGTGATGTATTACCGATGTTTAAAATTTAATTATCATGCTGCCTTAAGTGCAGCATTTTCCAAATGGTGTCAGAGACCATATTGCGACCAACATAGGTTGCACATTATTACCGTGTTGTGATTGCATTGGCCAGGCACCGTTTTTGTTTTATAACTTACCTTTGCTTGGTTATTAATTATTAGGCTTCCTAATTCACACGCCAATACGGCGATTGTGGAAGGGGAACACAGTTTGGATGTACAAATGCAAACCGT